GGCCGGCCCCCCGCCCCAGCCCCGGAGGGAGCTCATGGGAGTATGAAGGAGATGGTAGGAGGCTGCTGCGTATGTTCGGACGAGAGGGGCTGGGCCGAGAACCCGCTGGTCTACTGCGATGGGCACGCGTGCAGCGTGGCCGTCCACCAAGGTACGGGGGCGGCCGGCGGGGGGCGGCGCGCGCGGGGCGCCCCGGGCCGCACCCTCCCGAGACCTCCCGGGGCTCGCGCGCCCCTCCCCCACCCCACCTGAAGGCGCGGGAGGCGTGGGGGGGTTCCCCCCGCCGGGTCCTGGAGGCCCGGGTCCGGCATTGTTTTCTTGCCTATTGTTCCAGTCCCGCGCCCCCCACCCCAAGTTGAGGGAGTTTGGGGAGAGTCTGGGGAGCGGCGGGCGCGGAGTCCCGCGCCCCACACCGCCCCTGCCCGGGCCGCCGGGGGAATGTTTACCTGCGAGGTGTCCCCTCCCGCACGGTTATTTTGGTCCGGGCTCCGGGAGGAAGAGGTCAAGGGGGGGTCATCCCCCCTCGCTTCCGGAGGCTGGGAGGAGCGGAATTGGGGAGGGAGGAGAAGGGTCCCGGGGGAGCGAGGACTCCTGGAAGCCCCGGGGGCAGAGCGCAGGGAGGAGAGGTGGTGCGGGGGGCCGGCGCGCGAGGAGCGAGGTGTGGAGCTTCCCCCGGCAGCAGCACATGGTTCGGGAGTTAACTCCTTGAGGAATCTTGCCGAGGGCCAGGCTGGCATCTCCCGCCTGGCTGGCACCACCAGCTGGGCCCTCCTTCCCGGGACAGCCTTTGCTGCGGCGGCTGCGGGCTCTTCCCGCCACTCTCCTCCGCTCCCTCTGCGCACTGCACCTGCCCAGAGCCTGGACTTCTGACCCCTACCTGTGCTAGTGGCAAGAGGATGGGGCTCTTGGACCCCCGACTTCCCCACCTTGTCTCTTACTGGCCCTTTAAGAATTGATGCCCCCCCCCAACTCCAACCCCATAACAACAAAACGTGTCTGACTGCTGTGGTTGTTTCTGGGTTCCGGGTGCTGAGGGCTGGCAGGGGCTGGGAGACAGGTCCCGAAGGGTGTGGGGGAGGATCTTCTGGAAGTTTAAGGTCAGGGACTCAGACTTCCCGCCCTGTGTGGAGTGCTTGGTTGTGTGGCTGAAGGCTGGCCTTGTGCTGTTGGGCATTGCCTGGGGGCTGCTGCCCAGTGCACTGACCCCCAGAGAGGGGGAGCAGCCCCCCTCCCCACTTACTCTGGGGAGAAGCCCCTGTCTGCCCGCTGACTCTGCTCTCCCGCCCCCAGCTTGCTATGGCATCGTCCAGGTGCCAACGGGACCCTGGTTCTGCAGGAAATGTGAATCCCAGGAGAGAGCAGCCAGGGTGGTGAGTCCCAGCTGCCCCTCCCCGTTCCCCGCCCCCTCCCGCACACCTGAGCAGCTGGCTGGTCCGATGAAGCCCAGGGACTCTTCTGAGGCTGGGGTGGGACTTCCTGTCTCCTGCACACCTCCCACCAGCCCCATATCTTCCTGGGCTCATCCCTCCCTCTGCCCCACCTCTGGTGTGCCATGGGGGGACACTTCGGGGTTTTGTTTGTTTGAGCTGTGGATGATGCAAAGTTCCCAGCCCGTGGGAAAGCAGGGGGACCCTCGCGTGCCCACCACGCTCAGCCTTCATGGTTATTACCCCGCGGCCAGTCCTGCTCCCCCACCTGCACCCGTCACTGCGGTGGTGGGCCCTCTGATCCTGGCATGCAGGGAGGGTCCCGTGCAGCACATCTCCCACTTCCTGTGCCCCCTTGCATTGGCAGAGGTGTGAGCTGTGCCCACACAAGGACGGGGCGTTGAAGAGGACTGACAATGGAGGTGAGGGCGCCTTGAGCCACAGGGCTCAGCCGTGGAGGCCCACAACCCCTCTCCCCACCCCCCGCAGGGTCTGGGAAGGCAGAGAGGGCTGGGGTCGAGGCCGCTCTCCTCCCCTGGGGGCTGGCACCGGTGTGGGGGGTGGTCACAAGGGGTGGGGTCTCAGGCTCGCCATCCGCAGCTGAGGCTGGCCCTGCACCGCCCCAGGCTGGGCCCACGTGGTGTGTGCCCTCTACATCCCCGAAGTGCAGTTTGCCAACGTGCTCACCATGGAGCCCATCGTGCTACAGTACGTGCCTCATGATCGCTTCAACAAGGTCAGCACCCCTGCTGGGCCCCAGGCCAGGCTCCGCCCTGGCCAGCCATCCTTGGGTCTCCGTGCAGTGTAACTTGATTCTGTCCAACCAGCACTTTGCGGGAACTCCGGGCGTGGGCAGGTACCCACCACGGAACCAGGCTTCTGTCCACAGACACACCTGCTTTGTGGAACTCAAGCCAAAAAGCAGCTTCCCTCGCAGTCCCCACGTTCATTTCCTGGAGACGGTTTCTTGTGTGCTTACTAGGCGCACAAAGGTGCCAGGCACACGGTGTTCTGTGGCGGTCACAGTGCATGTGCTGCCCCCGCCCCAGTGGCACCCACAGTCTTCTATGGGAAGACCATCAGTCTCACTGAGCAGGCTAAGAGCCACTTGTGACGTGTGCAGGGAAGAGCCGACACGGCACTGGCTTGCTGTCCATTCAGGCGGTCAAGGTCAGAATTGTTGAGGCCGAGACCTGGGAGGTGTGAGGCCAGTGGGGTCCCTGTCCCCGGGCAGAAGGGACAGTCTGTGCAGAGGTCCACAGGTGGAAGTGAGCTTGCCAGTGAGCAAGGCAGACACGGTCCCAGGCTCGCCAGTAGAGCTGTCAGCTCCTGAAAGTTGAGTACAATTTAGAATTGAGTCCCTGGGGCGCACTGACCCATCGCCCGCGTGGCTAGCGCCTGCTGTCCTGAAAAGTGCACGTTTTCCACTATTACAGAAAGTTCTCTTGGCCAGCACTGGCCCAGGATGGTGGGGCGAGGGCCGGGTTGTGGGGGAGGACTGAGGGTTCCTCAGGCAGCAGGACAAGGTGCCCGGAGGAGGGGACAACCGAGCTGTATCCGGCAGACCTGCTACATCTGCGAGGAGCAGGGCCGAGAGAGCAAGGCGGCCTCGGGAGCCTGCATGACCTGTAACCGTCACGGGTGCCGGCAAGCTTTCCACGTCACCTGGTGAGACCCCTGCGCCCGGCCTGGCCCCCTCCCCTGCCCCGCTTTGCCACCGGTGGCCGTCCTGCGGGCTCACCCTAGCGGCTCTCTCTGGCAGTGGCGCCGGTGCCTTCCTTGGATGGCCCTGGCCTCACCTGGACGTGGGTCCCTGGGGGCGGAGGCAGGTGGCTGGGCTGGCCCGTGGCCACGCCCTCCTCAGGCTCACCTCTCCTGGTCAGTGCCCAGATGGCAGGCCTGCTGTGTGAGGAAGAAGTGTTGGAGGTGGACAACGTGAAGTACTGTGGCTACTGCAAGTACCACTTCAGCAAGATGGTGAGCCCCTCTGCCGAGGCGGGGCACCGTGGGGGGCTGTCCACTGAGCCCCTCTGCCGGGGCGGGGCACCGTGGGGGCTGTCCGCTGAGCCCCTCTGCCGGGGCGGGGCACCGTGGGGGGCTGTCCGCTGAGCCCCTCTGCTGGGGCGGGGCACCGTGGGGGGCTGTCCGCTGAGCCCCTCTGCTGGGGCGGGGCACCGTGGGGGCTGGCTGTCCGCTGAATGGGGAAGAAAAAGAAAGCTTGGCTCCGGAGGTGCGACTCAGCTCAGCGGAGCAGGCCACAGCACAAGACAGCCCCCGCCCTGCCCGCCTGACAGTCTGGAAGGCTTCAAGGAAGAGGTGGCAGAAACTAAGGCAGCGTGTATGAGAGAGGTGCTAGCCTCCCCTGAGTTTCCTTAACGTGCTGCTGGCGGGAGCTCTCAACTCAGTGCTGTAGCTCTCCCATTGTATAGATGCGGGAACTGGAAGGCGCACTGAGGCCCCATAAGCTGTCTCTCAGCAGGTGGATGGGGTTCAGAACAGGCATTCGGTTTCAGAGCTTCCTGGAGAGCCTGTGGAGCAAGTGCAGAGGGGCTGGCGAGGACGCAGTCCTGGGAAGAGAAAGCGTGTGCCATGTTTGGTGGGGACAGGGCAGGAGGCTTAGGCAGGCCCATAGCTTCAGAGGCCCAAGGAGAGGCTGGCGAGGAGGCTGTCACAAAGTTCATGGAGAGACTTGCGTGTTCCAGAAGCCGGGAGGGAGGCTGCGGCTTGGACCTCACCCCCAGGCCACAGAAGTTGTGAGCAGGAGGGTAACATGATCAGATTTGTTTTCTAGGAAGATTACCCTGGCAGCCGCTGTGAAGCGGATTGGAAAGGCCCAGGCCAGCGGCTGGGAGACAGCTGCGAGCAGGGGGACAGAGGGAGGAGGCACGATGCTTGCGCTGTGTCTAGGTAGACTCTGCCCGACTGTGGGGTTGGCTGTTAAACAGCGAGTGGGTAAAGCCAGAAGCCGTGGGGGTGCTGTGGGTGGTGCGCTGCTGGCTTCCGCTGGCGGGTAGATGTCCTGACCCACGTCCCCGTGGTCCCCGCGTAGCCTGTTGCTCGGATGTGGTTAGCTCCTCGCTGTCATTTTCAGAAGTGTGCTGGTTTGGGTCCCAAGGTGTGTGCTCGCCTTGGTTTCATGGTTTGATGATGACTTAGGACCAGGTAAGGGGCTCGGTTCGATTTGCAGGAGGTGCTCTGTGGAGAAGATCCCATTGGAAGGATGTCAGGCCATAGGCAGGGCGGTGGGAGCAGCCCCAAGTTCATTGCGTGTTGTGTCTGAGGCTGGAATCCCCAGGGTGCCCACGAGGACAGAGTGGGCCCAAGAGAACACGTTTGGTGTTCACAGGGCAGGAGGGTGCCATTGGGTCAGACAAAACTGAAACTCGCCCTGGGGTTTGGCAGTCAGGAGGTAGTTGGCGACCTTAGAGGGAGCAGCTGCAAGCCCGGGACGGACGAGGCTGCCTGCCCAGGCCAGGAGGGCATTGGTGGTCAAGGCGAGGAGCAGGCAGGCCCTGGCTACAAGAGGGAGCAGGGGGCTCGTTTGGGGTGTTGGTGGTGGTGTTTCTGTCTCACCTTCTCTGGGTCAAGGGCAGCGCATCGCTGGGGACAGGTGGAGAGGAGGGCCGGAGTCAGGAGAGGAGAGGGGGAGTATCAGCGAAGGATGGGATGTGGGGAGTCCTGTGCCCCAGGGAAGGAGGGTCACAGGCTGTGGCTCAGTGTGTTCAAGACAGGCCAGGAGGGTACGGTGGGAACGGTGGGAGAGCAGGCCCCAGGCCACCTCCACCCGGGTCCTGCTGGGGGCCGCCCCTGGGCCTCGGCCACGGACTGGACCCTGGCTGAGCCAGCTGGGGCCGCTCTGGGCTTATGCTCTTTGGCTGAGCAGTGCGACACCGAAGGCACAGGTCTGCTCGGTGCTGGGCGGGGCAGATGGGGTGGCATCGGAATCATTTAGCCTTCAGAAACCTTCCCTGAGCTGAGCGAGAGGAGGGTTGGGCAACTCCTCTCCTTGCTCTCCCCCAGAAGACATCCCGGCCCAGCAGTGGGGGAGGAGGCACGGGCAGTACAGGCGGAGGCAGCGGCAGCGGCAGTACAGGGGGAGGTGGCGGCTTCGTCACTGGCAGGAGGAGCCGGTCAGCCTCGCCGTCCACCCAGCAGGAGAAGCACCCCAGCCACCACGAGCGCGGCCAGAAGAAGGTGAAGCCCTCCCTACGCCACTCCTGCCCACGCCCCTGCACACCCACACCAGCACCCTCACCTCCCTGCCCACACCCCTGCACACTTGCACTAGCACCCTCACCTCCCTGCCCACACCCCTGCACACCCGCACCAGCACCCTCACCTCCCTGCCCACACCCCTGCACACCCGCACCAGCACCCTCACCTCCCTGCCCACACCCCTGCACACCCGCACCAGCACCCTCACCTCCCTGCCCACACCCCTGCACACCCGCACCAGCACCCTCACCTCCCTGCCACGCCCCTACACACCTGCACCGGCACCTGCCCCCGCCTTTCCTCTGAGGTCACTGTGGAGCAGGAAGGGTCTAGGGAGTGAAATGGGGGTGTAGGGGGAGGTGAGGGTGTGGCTTCCCTGTGTCCACGTGGTCCTCCGTGTTCTCCCTGGGACGTGACGGTGTCCCCAGAGCCCCCGATACACAGCTGTGCACGTCCACAGTCCAGGCGTGTGTACTGGCCCAGTTAGTGCCTGTGTCCCCTCATGCCACGTACCCTAGTGTCCCTGTCCCTATGCATGGCTCCCGATCCCAGACAGACTCCCTGGCGGGTGCATGCTGCCATTTGTGCTACTCCGTGTCACTGGCGTGATAGCGGGACAGGCTAATTTTAGCAGGCAGTGAGGACGGGAGGGGCACAGTTGACAGTCAGAAGAACTTGCCTGGGCCACTCCCATCCAGCTGGAGCCCCCAGCCCTCCATGGGGTGTGATGACTCCCGCTGAGGCCCATCTAAGAGAGTGCCTGCACACCTACCCCTCATGCTGCCCTCAGACAGCCCCCCAGCACCAATGTCTGCCCACTTCTCCTTCCCCAGAGTCGAAAAGACAAAGAACGCCTTAAACAGAAGCACAAGAAGCGGCCTGAGTCACCCCCCAGCATCCTCACCCCACCTGTGGTCCCCACTGCTGACAAGGTACTGCTGTCCATGGGCAGGAGGGAGGGTAAGCCAGGGCCCCAGACACTCGCCCTGTGGCTCCAGGTCCATATCTCCCCTTGCCCCCCCAACTCCTTCTTTCCCGAAGGGGCCTGCACCCCTCATGGCCGGCTGTGACAGTGGGGTACCCCCTGCCTGGTGGCTGCCAGGGCTCCTGCGACAGTCGGGTGCAGCACTCAGGCCTGTCCTCTTAAGTTCTTGGGGCCCCCGGAGATAGGCAGAGGCCCCTATCTCGCGTCAGGACAGCGCCCAAAGCCCGTCACCTAGCCCAGGCCCCGGCCATGCAGGTTGGAGGGCCGAAGGTGCTTGCCAGCGTGGCCTTGAGGGGAAGCCCTGGACAACATCCCCCCACTCCCTGGAGCCCCACCCTCCCTGGCAGGGGCAGGCACATCAGGCCTGTCTCTGGAAATGGGCAACATCTGGGTGAGCAACAGGCAAGCCCGACCCTAGGCCAGGGAGTCGCTAATCCAAGCCAGAGCAGCCCTCCCTGCCCCTCCCTCCAGCCTGCCCTAGGCAAAGGAGAGCCCCAGGGGCCTGGAGACAGGCTTCCTCCTGTGCCATTGCACTGCAGCTCACCCGCCTCCCGCCTCCCGGGGTTGGCAGAGCCCTGGGCATCTTAGCAGGAGGCTCAGGTATCAGGTTTCCAGGGTGATGTTGCTGTGGCAACTGCCCCAGTCACCCTGTCTCCTCCCCGCCTCCCAGGGCTCACCTGGCCCAGCTTGTCATTCGTGTCCTCTGACCCTTCCAGGGGCCTGCAGGCAGGTGGGAAGATTGGGAGTTCCTGCAGGACGAGCTGTCCCTGGGATGTGCCCAGCACTCTGCCCACCACCTCTACCCGCCCCAGCCTTTCGGCCACCCTCCCCCCAGCCCCCTCCTCCCTTGCTCTCAGAGCCACATCTGGCTCCCTTCAGAACTCCAGCTGTTGAAAAGAACAAAGAGGAAGACAGAGAGCAGGGCTCCGCCCAGGGAGGGGCAGTGTAGGGTGGCTCTTTGTGTCCCCGAAAGCGCCCTCCTAGGGCTTGCTGATTCAGCACAAGTTCCCAGTACCTGGTCTCCACCTGGGTGGGGGAGCAGCCTCCCTTCAAGAACCCAGGCGTGCAAGGGGGATGTGGCGAGTCATTCCTTAATCCTCAAAATGATCCAACAAAACAGGTGTTTTATTAACCTCATTTAGTAAGGGAAGAAGCTGAGGCACAGAGAGGTTAAGTAATTGGCAGAAAAGTACCCAGCCAGTCAGTGGTGGAGCTGAGATCTGATGCGGGGCCATCTGGTTGGAATGCTCGGGCTCCCGACCACCGCCTTCAGCGCCTTGGCCTCTTACCGAGCCTGGAGCCTGCCCCCTGCCCCCTGGAGCTAGCATTCTGCCCTGCTGACTCCTCAGTGTGCCATTTGCCCCACGGGTGGGGGTGAGATGCCACCCAACAGGGCATGAGCTCAAGGGCTCAGCACCTGCCCTGCCAACCCCTGTGGCCCTGCTCATCCTGCCACCACCGCTACCCTAGCAGTTAGTGGGGGCCTGGCACGCAGGGACAGCCCATGGCAGGACACAATAGGGACTAGAAATAAGAAGACAGAGTGATTCATGCCACCCCCGCCCCCAGGACCTAGGGAGGCTTTGGGGTAGAGGGGATTTCGGAGCTGGCTTATGGCAGCAGCAAAGTTTCCCAGGGAGAGGAGGGGCCAGGGCCGTGTGCAGAGGGCATGGTGCAAGCCAGGTGAGGCTGGTGTCCAGGAAGAGCATGGGGCCACTGGAGAGGGTGCAGAAGCCAGGCGGCCACAGCGTCCAGTACACAGGGAGGGAGGGGTAGCACAGGGGACCCACGGCTGGTTCTGCGCAGCTTCCCAGCACTGGGCCAACCTCAGGGGCCCCGAACTATTTAGGAAGGGAGGGACAGCTGAGCAGCACATCAGTGCAGGCTCTGGGACCACTCCCATCTCGCCTGCCCTGCCTCAGGGACAGGACATAGCTCCCTGGGTTCAGCGCGCTCTTGCGGGCTCTCCCCAGCTCCCTGGTCCAGGGCTCCCAGGGCCTCACTCCCGTGTCCAGCCCAGGCTGAGCCCTCCCTGCCCTCCCTGCCCAGGTCTCCTCATCGGCTTCCTCCTCCCACCACGAGGCCAGCGCTCAGGAGACCTCGGAGGGCAGCAGGGACTCGAAGGGGAAAAAGTCTTCCAGCCACAGCCTGAGTCACAAGGGAAAGAAGCTGAGCGGTGGGAAAGGTGTGAGCAGTTTTACCTCCGCCTCCTCCTCTTCCTCCTCCTCCTCTTCCTCCTCCTCTGGGGGGCCCTTCCAGCCTGCAGGTGAGTGGGGGCCTCCTGGAGGAGGCTGGGAGCAGGGACAGCCTTCTGCCCTGCGCTGTCCGAGCACGGGCCCTTGCATGTTGGTCGGAGGCCCGCTTACAGTAGAGGGACCCCCACTTGAGACTCCTCTCCGACCCTCCCCCTCAGGCCCAGCCCTCCAGCCCCACTCCTGTCAATCAGCCCCTGATTGGGAAAGGCGGGAAAGGTGCTGGGGCAGGGGACCCTTGTCCCAGGACAGGGACGCAGCAGAGCTGGGACAGGAAACCAGGCCGCAGCAGTCCGCACAGGGGAGTGGGGCTGCCGGGGCCCGGGGTCCAGCTGAAATTCCCTCTCCCTCTGTGCACAGTCTCGTCCCTGCAGAGCTCCCCTGATTTTTCTGCATTTCCCAAACTGGAGCAGCCGGAAGAGGACAAGTACTCCAAGCCCGCAGCCCCCACCCCTCCAGCCCCTCCCTCGCCCCCAGCCCCTGAGCCCCCCAAGGCTGACCTCTTTGAGCAGAAGGTGGTCTTCTCTGGCTTTGGGCCCATTATGCGCTTCTCCACCACCACCTCCAGCTCGGGTCGGACCCGGGCCCCCTCCCCTGGGGACTATAAGTCTCCCCACGTCTTGGGGTCTGGGGCCTCAGCAGGCACCCACAAGCGAATGCCTGCACTGAGCGCCACGCCCGCACCTGCTGAGGAGACCCCCGAGGCGGGCCTGAAGGAGAAGAAGCACAAAGCCAGCAAGAGGAGCCGACATGGGCCAGGCCGTCCCAAGGGCAGCCGGAACAAGGAAGGCCCCAGTGGCCCGGCTACCCCCTCCCTGCCTGGGGCCCAGCTGGCTGGCTTTACGGCCACTGCTGCCTCGCCCTTCTCCGGAGGTTCCTTGGTCAGCTCCGGCCTGGGTGGTCTGTCCTCCCGCACCTTTGGCCCTTCTGGAAGCTTGCCCAGCCTAAGCCTGGAGTCCCCGCTGCTGGGGGCAGGTTAGTGGCCCCTGGAGACAGTGGGCATCTGCAGGCTCAGCCAATCCAGGGAGGGGACAGAGGCACAGCAGGCATGTCCCCAAGGCTCTCCCTGACGCCTCCCTCTGGCGAGGCCCTGGGGAAGCTGGGGTCAGCTGCCAGCAGGACTGACTGAGGAGGAGAACTCTGAGAAACACGGAAGCCAGGTCTGGGCAGGACGTCTGTCAAGCAGGTGTATGGGGTAGACAAGGGCCATCTCTGAGTAGGAGGACTAGATGGTGCATCTGTGGCTGGATCTGGTGGCGCGCACTCCCTGGAGTGGAAGATAACACTGGGTTTCCTTTGCCTCCCTCTAGGCATCTACACCAGTAATAAGGACCCCATCTCCCACGGCGGGGGCATGCTGCGGGCCGCCTGCAGCACCCCGCTCTCCTCCAGCCTGCTGGGAGCCCCAGGGACCTCAGCCCTCCCCCGCCTCAGCCGCTCCCCATTTACCAGCGCCCTCCCCTCCTCCTCTGCTTCTATCTCCACCACTCAGGTAAGGCCTCACTAAGGGGCAGGTGGGGGACAGGGTGCTGGGGCTGACGGCCTGAGAATGCCCTCTCTGGGCTGTCTTCACACACCCCACCCCCACCCCCCCATCCCCCCAGGACACCCCGCTGTGCTCTGGCCCCTAGAGTAACTCCAGGCTGGATTCTCCCCTCCCCTCAGGTGTTTTCTCTGGCTGGCTCTACCTTTAGCCTCCCCTCTACCCACATCTTCGGAACCCCGATGGGTGCCGTTAACCCCCTTCTCACCCAAGCCGAGAGCAGCCACACAGGTATGTGAGTCTCAGCCCCAAGGACTCCCGTCACCTGCCTGTGGCCCCAGAAAGGATGGGAGGGCTTGCTGGCTCCCCACCCCCCCCACCCCCCACCCCCCCACCCCCCGCCCTGCAGACCCCAGATCTTCACATTCAGCAAGGGAGCACTTTCACCTTCCAACACAGTGCTGGGGCAGAGCAGGGCCCATCCCACAAAAGAAAAAGGCAGAGGGGCCCATGAGCTGCCCGGGCCAGTGGAGCGGAAGTGGCAGCACCAGAGCTCACATGGGGGTCTCCTGACTGGAGCCGCCCCTTCTCACCCTTTCAGCGCGGCTGGACTCCGCCGGTACCAGGGTCCCACCGGCGGGGCAACTGTTGTCCAGGGTTCTAGGAGTTAAGGGGGCCGGCCGCAAGGTCCCGCCCTCTCCCTGGAGAGTCTCCCCGGCCCCGGAGAGGTGATTGGTGCGGAGACACCGCCTGCCAGGCCAGGGAATGGGGCCTAGAGCCAGGCCGCTGGTTCGGATCTAAGACCCAGAGAAGTAGGGTGATTATTTTCTCAAACTGAAATCGGGATTGTGGGGCGCAACCAAGTTTCGACTCGTGAGGTAGGAGTTCGTGTATAACGTCTGTCTAGTAGCTGCAATTATTAAGGGCTTGCTGAATGCCCGCTGACCCCTTCAGCCACATGCTGAAGACCTTGAAGTCTTACCCTCACTTCTGAGAGGTTAGTTAGCAGTCTGAAGTCACACAGCTCTCCTGACCTGGCGTTTCTGTAAATCTGGCTCCCAGGGGAGAAACTGGGGAGTTTCTCCCCCGGGCAGCGGGGGCCTGTCTGCCTGGACAAAGGGCCGAGGCCACTGGGGCTTTGCCCCCAAGACGCGGGGGCTTCCCAGCGCGTCTGTCCGTTTGGGGCATCCTGGGGAGGGAGGGTCCCTCCCGGGCAGGGACCCTACCCCGCTGATCCCCGCCCTCCCTTCTCCTTCCAAGAGCCAGACCTGGAGGACTGCAGCTTCCGGTGTCGGGGGACCTCCCCCCAGGAGAGTCTGTCTTCCATGTGAGGGAGGGGCGGCGGCATGGGAGGGGGGTGGGGAGGAGGAAGACCCGCCCGGGAGAGGGAGAGCGTGGCGGCGACCGAAGGGGCCGGGCCGGAACCCTGCGGGCGGGGGCGGAGAGCCCTGGAGTTGAGGGCTCGAGGTGAGCCTGAGCCCGGTTGCCCTTCTGACCCCAGGTCCCCCATCAGCAGCCTCCCCGCACTCTTCGACCAGACGGCGTCCGCACCCTGCGGGGGCGTGCAGCTAGACCCCGCGGCCCCGGGAACCACCAACATGGAGCAGCTGCTGGAGAAGCAGGGAGACGGGGAAGCCGGCGTCAACAGTGAGGAGGGGTGGCCCGGGGCTAGGGAGCCCGGACTTCCCCTCCCTCCCCGAGGCCCCAGACCGCTGAGGGGGTCCGCAGGGTCTGACCTCTAACCCCTGCTGGGCTTTGCTTCTGGCCTGGCTCCCTCTGCGCCCCGCCTGGCCTCGGGCCTCGGGCCTCGGTCCCCCGGGATCCCGCCTCTCCGAGCCCACCTGCCTGGGCAGGCCGGGCCGGGACGAGCGCTCCTCCCAGGCCCCGCCCCGGCCCCGCCCCCCGGCCTCAGCCTCCCGCGCCCTCTCTCGCAGTCGTGGAGATGCTGAAGGCGCTGCACGCGTTGCAGAAGGAAAACCAGCGGCTGCAGGAGCAGATCCTGAGCCTGACGGCCAAGAAGGAGCGGCTGCAGATTCTCAACGTGCAGCTCTCCGTGCCCTTCCCCGCCCTGCCTGCTGCGCTGCCTACGGCCAACGGCCCGGGCCCGGGGCCCTACGGCCTGCCTCCCCAAGGTGAGGGGACCCGGCCAGGCTGCCCGCGGGGGCCGGGGGCCGCTGCCCGGCGGCTCCGCTGCTGACTTCCACCCTCCCGCAGCCGGCAGCAGCGACTCCTTGAGCACCAGCAAGAGCCCTCCTGGGAAGAGCAGCCTCGGCCTGGACCACTCGCTGTCCACTTCTTCTGAGGTGAGCGCCGCGCGGAGGGGCGGGGGGGGGGGCGGCAGGCGGCCCGAGGGCCTCCAGGTGGCTTCGGTACCCTGGCTCAGCAGCCAGTGCGCAAAGCTGGCGCGGCCCTGCTCCCTGTGAGCCAGGCAGGGACCAGGGCCTCCTGTGTGGGTCCCCGGGTGGTTAGGGCAGAGCTGTCTGGGAAGGCTTTCTGAAGGCTTCATTACAGCGCCTCCCACTAAGCAGCTGCCGCGTAATTGGCGGTGGTTGGAGTAGCAATGGCTCTTATTACGTTGTGGTTCGAACTGGACCCAAACAAACTGGGCTCCTGCTCTCCGTCTGCCACCAGCGAGCTTAGTTAGTCTTCCCAGTCGCTGTGTGGAGCGGGTACCGCCGTAGCTGCGGGTCTGGCCTGGGTCTTTCCTCCCAGCTGTCACGCTCTTGTTTGGCTGTTGTTTGCGGAGTTACTTCACCTGTCCGCTGGGAGTAAGGGGCAGCACCTGCTGTCATCACTGTCCCTTATTACGGCAGGAGACGGGGTGCTGGGGCCCCGGGAGTGGCGCTGCACGGGTGGGACTCGTGAGGACTCTGGCGTCTTAGCCCTCGGCCCCTGCCCTGGCTGCACCCTCCAGGTTGCCTGCGGGTGAGGCGGGGGGGTGGCTGTGCTCTGTGAGAGTGCTGGTGGGTGCTGGGCCGGGGGCCTTCCGCCTTCTGACCCCTCCCTCCCCTCCCTCCCCAGGACCCCCACTCAGGCTGCCCGAGCCGCAGCAGCTCGTCGCTCTCCTTCCACAGCACGCCCCCACCGCTGCCCCTGCTCCAGCAGAGCCCCGCCGCCCTGCCTCTGGCCCCGCTCCCACCCCAGCCGCAGAACGGGTTGGGCCGGGCACCTGGGACAGCGGGGCTGGGGGCTGTGCCCATGGCCGAGGGGCTGTTGGGGGGACTGGCGGGCAGTGGGGGCCTGCCCCTCAATGGGCTCCTGGGGGGGTTGAATGGGGCTGCCGCCCCCAACCCTGCAGGCTTGAGCCAGGCTGGCGGGGCCCCCACGCTGCAGCTGCCAGGTTGTCTCAACAGGTGAGGGAGAGCTCGGCTCTGGGGGAGGAAAGGGGGAGGCTGGCGCCAGGAGGGATTCTCCCCAGACCCCCCCCAACCCCCAAAAAGGAAAAAGTCCCGAGACCTTAGATATGTAAGCCTAGGCATCGCTGTCCAGGGACAGGAGCCCGCTCCCCTCCCCTGCCCCTCTCTTCCTCTCTGGGTTTTCCTGCTGGGCAGTTTTTGTACCCAGCAGGTGTCTTCCCATTTCCCTTGGTGCCCTTGGAGCTCTGAGATCTCACGTCCCCTCCCCTTGCCTGGGTCCGAGGGAGAAGCTGGAGTGGGGGGGGAGGAACGAGTGCCTGTCTTCCCTGTACTCTGCCCCCCAGTCTCACGGAGCAGCAGAGACACCTCCTGCAGCAGCAAGAGCAGCAGCTGCAGCAGCTGCAGCAGCTCCTGGCCTCTCCGCAGCTGACCCCGGTAAGGGGCCCCCACACCCCTCCTTGGTTGTCTTGGGGTCCCTGCTGCCCTTTGCCAGCTCTGCCTGGAAGGGCTGACCTCTGAGGGTCTGGGGAGGGAGAGGAAGCTCCAGCTGGGCTGCCATGTGCCATGGAGCCTCTGGACTGGAGCTGGGCCCCTGGGAGCGTGGGTGGGGACAAGGACTGCTGTGGTGCCCTGGGCACGCGGCGTGGCATGCTGCGGTGACTTCAGGGGAGAGGTCATGGCGGGCGGCGGATTCTCAGTTACAGAGCGTTTCGGTCCCAGGCCCGAGGTCTTCCCCAGGACCCCAAGGTCTCGTGCTGAGGGGCTGAGCAGGTGCCACCCCCATCCCAGGGCAGTTTCTTTGGGGTCTGGCTCATCCTGCCAAGATTCCCTTTGGAGAAATAGATCTTTACCTATTAGTCTTGAGGGAGCTGAAAAACTAGGAGAAGGAAACACTTTTCAGAAAGGTAGACAAGAAACTAAGGCAGCTGGTTACGGAGAGGGCCCAGGCAGGCCCAGGAACGGGGGGAGGTTGCTTGAAGAAAGCTGTACGTCACTGTGGGCTCTGGAACGTTGAGAGTGCTTTGCACATTGAAAACAAAAATGCGCGACTTAGGTGAATCGAAGGAAACGGCGGGGGGGATGAAACTTCAGTGTTTTTCACCTTGAGGTGGTAACACCCCAGGGACACTTGTGGTTGCCATAGCAACTGGTGGACTGGTTCAGTGGGTGGGGCCAGGGATGGTCAGCACCCTGTACTCAGCCAGCTGTGCCACATCTGACAAACGCTGACGGGGTGGCCACCATTTTCTGTCCACATCGGGAGACTAAGGCACCAACTGGGAGGTTAGAACAAGAACCTCGGCTGTCTCCCGGTGTCTTGCTTCACACTTTCATGGGGATGGGGCCGGGCCAAGCAGGGCAGGCGGGACCAGGGGAAGGATTGCAGAGGCCCGGGCCCACGCGCAGTCTGGCCCTTGCAGGAACACCAGACTGTTGTATACCAGATGATCCAGCAGATCCAGCAGAAGCGGGAGCTGCAGCGGCTGCAGATGGCCGGGGGCTCCCAGCTGCCCATGGCCAGCCTGTTGGCAGGAAGCTCCACCCCACTGCTGTCGGCGGGCACCCCTGGCCTGCTGCCTGCCGGAGCCCTGGTGGCTCCCTCCCTTGGCAACAACACAAGTCTCCTGGCCGCCGCAGCTGCGGCTGCGGCAGTAGCAGCAGCAGGCGGCCCTCCAGTGCTCACGGCCCAGACCAACCCCTTCCTCAGCTTGTCGGGGGCCGACACCAGTGGCAGTGGCCCCAAAGGAGGGGTGAGTAAGGGGTTGGGGCCTTCCTGGTCTCCCTTCTAGAGTGGGCAGAAGTGGATCATCAGGTTATCAGATGGGGAAAGGAAGCAGCTCCCCTGTCCCCCGTGGGCCTTGCTACAGACCCCAGGGCCTCTGCTCATTGCACATGGCGCCCTCCTCCAGAGCCCAGAGAGAGCCACTCTGTGCAAGGGGCAACAGTCAAGGGCCAATCAGGAAAGAGCGGCCTCTGGGAAGACCAATTAGAAAAAGCCATTTCCTTCCCTAGCAATTAGAAAACAGGCCTCCCTCCCTGTTCCCAGGGCGCTGGCCTGGGCTGGCCCTTGTGTGTTTGCTTCGGTGTCCTTTTGCAGGGTAGGTAGCTTTTCCACCCGACTCGTTGACCCGGGCGTGCACCTGCTAGAGCCCAGCCCAGAGACTCCAGCCGGCTGGCCTTTGGCACCCTGCAGCAGCCTTCTTAGCCCAGGAAGCTCTTAACTGAGCACTAGGGCCAGACACCTCCCACACTCCACCCTCCTTTCCTCTCTTTCCAGACCGCTGACAAAGGAGCCTCCGCCAACCAGGAGAAAGGCTAAATCCACACTCAGACACATACACACACACACACACACCCCTGGCCCCCAAAGTGGAGCGAGCAGATCGTGGCCTGAGGGGTCCCAGCTGGGAGCAGGCGCCAGCACCCAGACACTGGAGAGCCCTGGCCCAGAGCTGTTCCTGGCCGGGGGCTGAGAGCGGAGCCCCTCCCCCCTGCCATGTCCCCGCTGTGAGAGGCTCAGAGGGAGGTCAGGCTCCCAGCCTGCCTAGGCGCTCTCCTCCCAGGGAGCAGAGTGGGCCGTGGACTTGCCATGTAAAATGGGTCAGCACTTGAATGGGCGGAGCGGGGACTAGCCCAGGGCCTGAGCTGGCCGGACTTGACCTGCAGCTTCCCCCAGTCCTGGGCAGATGGCAGACAGGCTCCCTTGGACTGTTTCCGGGCCTCCCTCCTGCCGTGGGGGTCACAAGCTGAGCTTGTAAAAACCCACAGATGGAGAGGGGCTGAGCAAGGGGCAGGAGGGGTGATGGGGAGGCGTAGGTGCGGAAGGGCCCCGCCTTTCTTTGGTGCCCCGCCCATTGTTTGCACTATTGGCTTGAGGAGTGCGGAGGGTGGGGGGAGATGGAGCTGCCTGACTCTCAGTGTGAGTGTGTGTGTGTGTGTGTGTGTGTGCATGCGCGTGCGCAAGCATGTCTGTCTCTCTCCCATGGGCCTGTGGCGGCCAGCCAAGGGCAGGGACAGGAGCAAAGGTTCGATGAAGCAGCATGGGCATGTAGGGTGGGGCACCTTCCCCGCCTCACCAACTTTGGTCCCTTTCTGGGGCAAGAATGGTTAACGAAAACCAGAACAGTACTCCAGTATTGGAGAGTAACTGGGGGCTGGGGGCTTCGAATCAGGGTACTAGCCGGCCTTCCCTCCCCCAGACCCACTTGGTCTCAGGGCCCCCTCAGGGCCCCCCTGCCCCCCGCTGGTGTTTGGCCCTTCCCTGGCATAAGGGGAGCCCCAGGGATTGGGGGAGGGGTGGGGGGGTAAAGTGCCACTTCTTTTAGCAAAAGTGTCCCTCCCACAGCTAGCCAGCCTGCCTCCCGCCCTGTCATGGCCCTCATCTCCACTCACCAGGGAAGCCCCTTCAGCTGACCTGATGGCTGTCCCCTCTCCTGCCAGCCATTGCCCAGGAGCTGCAGTGGGCACTTCCCACCTGCAGACCACCCCTGCCAAGGGCTTTTGGGGGTGGAGGTTGGGGGCAGCCTGTGTCCCTGGGTCAGCTGCACTGGGCAACCCTCACTTCACGTCCATCTCTTTGCATGTGTGGGTTTTCTTGTGTGTGTTTCTGTTTGGGTTGTTTTGTTTTTCTTTGTGTTTTCTTTTTTTTTTTTTTAATAAAGAAAAGAAGAGGTGTATATTTTTGGCAATGACAGAAACGTAGTGCAGATATATTTTTGCCTGTGCTGCTCAACTGTTTTTTTCTGATACTGAGAATAATATTAATATTCCTGTTGATAAGACTTTGTAAGGGGGCTGATGATGGAGGGGGGAGGCCAGAAGCAATTTCTTAGGCACTTGCAAGGGCTTGGGGAGGGGGGAAGCTGCTGTGATAACCTCAGAAATACTCACTTTGTATTAATGCTAAGGATCAGTTAGGAAGACGGGAGAGACTTCAGCATTTAATCATCTTGATTAAGCTCTTTGACTCCCTGCCCCCAAGCCACTGGAAAAAATAGCGGGGTCCTGCCTGAGGCTGACCCCTGCGCAGCAGGAAGTGAGTCCAGTCTGGCCCCTGTGGGCCAAGTGAGAGAGTGCCCTGGCTCCCAGCCTCCTCTCCTGGGGTGCTCACCTCCAAGAGTCTGTTGCACAGCTTTCCCAAGCCCCTCGAGTCTCCTAGGCTGGGGTGCTGGGGCGGGGGTCTGGTGAATCCAAAGAAGGGGCCCAAGCTGGGAACGGGGCTGCTGCCACCCCCCCACACTACTACGTGGGAAGATGGCTATGAGGATCTCACCCTCTCCCAGCCTCAGCCCCCTTTTTTGAAAAAAAAAAAATAAAAGTTTGGCCAGGGGTGGGAAGAGACGTAGGTTTCTAGAGCTCTTGTCTAGGGGAAGGGGAGGATGTGGGTTGCAGAGCGGAAGTGGGGTCTGAAAACAGACCACGTGACTGGAGCTCACATCACCCTCAGCAGGGGGTGGGCGTGGTGTGCCTGTGGAGCCCGTGTCTGGCCAGGGGCCACGACTGGCGCATGAGTGTCCTGGCTGGAGGGGCCTTGGCTTTAGGGGTGGTTTGAGCCAGCTCCTCGCTTCCCAGGTGGCAGCGCCAAGACCAGCCTCAGGACCCGGCCTCCATGTGGCTCGTTTGTGTCCTGTGTGTGTGTGCGGGTGTGAGTGCAGGGCTGTGCCCAGGGTGAGAGCGTGTTTGTGTAGCGCTGTCAGCGCAGAGCTGTCGGATCCTCTCCATAGACATGACACTTTAAGGGTTGCCTTTTTTTTTTTTTCCAGTTTTTTGTTTGTTTAGTTCTTGGGTCTACTGCCACCTCCAGGTGCCCACCCCAGCCTCCTAGGAAGGGCCTGGACGAGGGAGGGCGAGCCCCTGTGCCTCCCTTTCCCAGGCTGGAAATGCAGGTGGGCGTCCTGAAAGCAGCTCCTAGCAGCTACCTGGGCATGCAGGGGGCCCAAGTTGAGTAGGTAGCTGGCTCCCACTCCTTTATCCCAGTTGAGTCCTGGGGAGAGGCTCCCACTTGGAGTGAGGGAACGTGGGAGGAAGACAGGGCCCAGCAGCCCTGGCTCCCTCCAGCCACATCGACCTGGATTAAATGGTCGGCGGCAGCTCCCGGCCACTTGGTCTTGATCTACTGAGGAGCTGGGGACTCATCCCCTCATGCTCATCTTCTTCAGCCCGACCTGGGCCTGCGGTGGTGGGACTGGAGACGGGAACCCCAGGTCCACCCCTGCCATCCCAGCCTGTCTCCATGTAGCAGAGCCTTCCCAGGGGAGCAGGGAGGGGCAGCCACAGATTGCAATCCCAGGGGCCCTTTTGCATTCTTTCTAAAACCTCCTTTATATCCTCAGCCCAAAAGGCAATGCCCCTGCCACCTCCAAGCCTGGAATTGTGCATAACCCGGATCTTGTATCTTTGTATAACGGATGTTATTTGTACGAAGGGCAGTTCGTAAACAGCACTTGTTCTTTTAATAAAAGAATGTTTTACAAAAAAAAAAAAAAAAAAGACTAGCTTTGTCCTTTTTTTTTTTTTTACATGTTTAAAATTTTTATTTTCATTTTACTTGAAAAGCAGAGATTGAGATAGATCTTCCTTTGGTTGGGCCACTCCCCAGAGGCCGGCAGCAACCAGGGCTGGGCCAGGCCCAAACCAAGAACCCCGAACTTTCTCGGGGCTCCCAGTGGGTAGCAGGGACCCCAGTACTTGGGCCACCACCTGCTACCGCCCGGAGCGCGGCTGGCACGGCCAGAGTGCACGCGTGCGTCCCTAGCGGCGATTTAACCCTGACTGGCTTTAGTGCAGGGAAAGGGGGGTGGGCGGCCAGCGGGGGCAGCCCGGGGTGGGGGGCTCGGGCGGGGGCACGGCCTAGGACACTTCCTTCGGCACCACGAACGCACACGACGCCGGGGTGCGTGTTCAAGCCGCAGAGGCCGGAGCCCCACCCCAGGATCGTAGCCTGCAGGCCGGCCCCGGGTGATGGTGCCCCTCACCGCCGGCTCAGAGCCCTGTCTCGGGCTCCGCGCAGGGAAGCGGCGGTGCCCCGGCGAGGCGCGGGCCGGAAGGCCTGGGCGACAGCTCGGCGCGCCGCCCCGAAGGGGGCGTCAGGGGAGACCGCGCCACACCCGGGGCCCGCAGCCTCTTCCGGGCCGAGACGGCGCGGGGCGGGCCTCGGGGCGGAGGGAGCCGGGAAGGTGACCGGCGGGGGCGGAGCCGGCGCAGAGCGGCGGAGCACGGCCATGGGCGGCGAGCGGACTTTGCTGCGGCAGGCTGCGCGCGGCGTCTGGGTGAGCCCCCTCCCCACCCCACTTCCTCACCCGCCCCCTCCCCGGCCCGGGACCCCCACCGGGCGCCGGGCTCCTCCCGCGGCGCTCGCCTCGGTGCCCTCGGCTCGGCGCACTGCCCTCAGTAGCCTTCTAAGCGAGCGCCCACCGGGTGTCCGGACCTCCCCAGCAAGTCTCCTCTTGGACCTCTCTTCCGATCCTCTTATTTCTCGCATGGCCCTGTAGCCCTCCTCCTTCCACTGTTTCTGTTGCCAACCACCGACTCGTGATGCCTGCGTGCCTTGCAGATTCTGAGCCCTAGGCGGGACATCTCCTCCTGGCTGGTAAGCACCCCCTCCCTTCAGCCCATTCTCCCCGCAGGCCCCAAACCACCAGTGCAGAAGCCAGGGAATTGGATCCGCAGGGCTGCTTCCCAGTGTCCAGCCCCCAGCGCCTTGCGTCCTGTTCCCTGATGGCTGCAGATGGGTGGGGTGGACCTAAGGGCACAGGGCAGGGAGCCAAGTTTTTGGCAGGCGGGCCAGCAGTGCCTGGCCAACCAAGCTCCAGGTGCAGGTAGTACCTTAGGCTGCCAGGAGCCCGGTCCTCCCTCCCTAGCACCCAGGAGGGAGCCAGGCTCAAGGGAAGGTGGCTGGATCCTAAAACCCGAGTGCCTGGTGGCAGATCTCTGCTCTGAGATCTCGGAGTCCTCAGGTGTCCCGGGGGGAGCATCCTTGCCTGATGGCATCAGATCAGCCTCCTGCAGAGCCTGCCACACCTGGGCCAGTGGGAAACCAGACAAGGCTGTAGGCAGGAAGGTGCTTCCGTGGGCTTTTGCTGACCCTGAGCCCCTCATCTTCCCTGGCCACAGGCCCGATGGTTCCCCAAAGTCCCAGCCAAGCCGGTGGTGGCCCAGAAAACACCCGTCAAGGTGGAGCTAGTGGCCGGGAAGACCTACAGGTGGTGCGTGTGCGGCCGCAGCAAGAAGCAGGTGAGAGACCTCCCACTCCTGGGACGCCTCTGGCTGGGGTCTGCCTGGCGTCCCCTCCCACCCACCACGCTCCTCCCGTTCCCACACATACCCGAGGGACGCTGCCGGGACCGGTGGGCAGTGCCCCAGCAGGGCCCGGGCTCCTTTTTCTTCCTCTGCCCGTTGAAGGGAGCCGGAGAGAGCTCCAACCCGAGCACGGCTTCTCTTAAAGCAGAGCCCCGGCTCTCGGGCCCTGAGCGGCTCACCTGTGTCCTCACTCTCCTGCCTCCTTCCAGGGAGTGTCAGGGCCCAAGGTTCCCAGGCCTCGGACGCCAGCGCTGGGCAGGCTTTGCAGGGCCGCATCTGCTCCCCAAGCTCCGCAGCCTCCCAGCTGCTCCGCACAGCACCCAGCCCTCCTTGCGGTTCACGTGGTGTTCTGGGGTGCCTGCCGCAGCCTGCTGTCTTCTTGGCCTCCTCTCCCTTCTGCCGCAGGAGCCTTGCCTATGTGCTTAGCCTCCGGGCCCCTTTGCTTCCCGAGGAGAGCTCCAAACTGCATTCCTCCAAGCCCACGGCGTGGTGTCAGCAACCCCAGGGTTCGAATCCCAAGGATTTGCTGTGGCCTTGGAGCCAGTCTTCCTGAGCCTGGAGCAGTGCCAAAGGCGTGCCTGCCAATGGCACGCAACCCTGCCGGGGTGTGGTGCACCTGCCTCTCTGCCTCCTGTCCCTTGGGACAGGCTGCTGCTATTCGCACACTTATCTCCCTTTTCTTCCTATCCCACCTTGACCCTGAAGGTAAAGGTGCCTTGGCTCCAGCTTTGCCACTAACTGGGACCTGTTCCATGACCCAGGGTGTCCGAACAGCTAGGGGATGAGCCATGGAGATCCCCCAGCCCCAGGCAGCCAGTGGGCAGTGGGACTTCCCCTTCTGCCCCGCTCCACCCATCTGTTGCCTGGAGCCAGACAATACTGCTCCCATGGCCTTAAAGCGCTGTGATGTACCCACGTGCTCTCCAAGCCACAGAAGTTTTTACCCCGGGATCATGGGGGAAGGGAATGGATCCCATGAACCAGCAGAGGCTCCACTGTTCATGGAAAAAGACACAGACCTTAAATGTGAACTCTGCTTGTGCCTGCGGTCTCACTGCTGGGAGGACTCCTGCTTCCTGAGCTCTTACTGTCGCCAAAGTGCATAATGACCTAACGACCGACCGACCGCTGTTTAGTTTATTTCCTCCTGACTGCTCTGCCGCCCCTCCCCCACCTCACTGCACCCAGAAGAGTTCTGAGAGGGAGATCAGTGAACCCAGGCGGCCCCTGCCACGGTGCTCGGCTTCTCTGGGCTCTTCCACACCCGCCCCGTCCCATCCCAGCAGGTTGGGTCAGGTCTCTGACGCCATCTTTTTCCCCCACCAGCCCTTCTGTGATGGCTCCCACTTCTTCC